GATTGATCAAAATAACACGCATACTACGTAATTAAATTAGGAGACATGTAATCTTGTTTACGGACGATATCTCACCCTTTGTGTTTCAGACCTAATATTAATTAATGATTTAATTAAATCTGTTTCAACAATTCGAATAACAAAATAGGAAACTTTACCCAAGCTTTGTTTCTAACGATATTAAGATTGTGCGAAGGGTGAGTTGCTTTTTGTTTTCAATATTTTGTTGAAAAATAATGCTTATTTGTGCCTAATTTAAGTGTTAAAGAACTTCAAAACTATCGACAAATATAGCAAAACAATGCATCGATTTATAAAATCTTTGGTTTAGATTATGTTTGTGAGTAGTTAGTTGGGACTCTTTTTTATTTTTTACAAAAAGAAAAATTTTAGTGCGTATGTTTGTGAGTGGTTGAGACTTTTTTTATCCAAAAAGAAAATTTTTAATTCGCTGAGCAACAAAAAAAAAAAAAAACCAATGCTTAAGGAATTAACACATATATTTTCTTTGCAAAAATCATGAAAAAATTTATATCTGAAAAAAAAAGGAAAAAAAATGAGAATGTCTTGCACGAGATTGTAAACATGCCATGCCATGCCATGGAGGTTCACAATCACGACGCAACGAATGCAGCTCGTATTCAGCATCTGTCTTGTTCCTTGCATATTAGCAGCCCTTCACGGTTAGCAGCTACATCATTGTAGTAGCTACCTTTGCCTTCGATGGCCTTATCACTCACCTGTAATGGTTCGTGGAACGAGTCATTTCTATTAAGTTTGTACCAATCCTAACCATCTAACAATAATCTAGTTTGTTGCATATTGTTTCCCCATAATTATGGATGAAGAATACAATCATGAATCTGGCATGTCATCTGTTCATCTGGCACTTCGTATGAACCTCCGATGCATCGTCCTTTCCTTCGATGTATTATCCGATCTATCGACATGTTGATCTCCTACAACATCTGATTTTCTTGGTGTAATACCCGATCCTTCCGACTTGATGCCTAAACTCTAACATGATGCACTCCGACTCAACATATGATTCTCTTACTTTAACGATTTATCTTTACATGATCGAAGTTTCTTATATCAAATGTTTATTAGTCTATAAACTCATCAATTGATTTCATCATCAAAATATGATATTCAACAAGAAGGGGTGCTATGGGAGAATTCGATTAGAGCAAGGCTCCAGTAGATTCTGTATTGACCTGACAGCAAGTACTATGTCCGGTATACGGTCTCTATGATATTAGATGAATGAGGGATTATATATACATGATAACTAAGGGTAGACAGGTCTAATGGATTAGATTTCCCTATATCTTTTGGGGACTATGGCATAATGGCCTAGTACATACATAGTTGATGAATTGAGTGAATTATTATGGGATGATATTCATTTAATCATAAAGAGTTCTGAGTCAAAAGGAGTTCTAATAGGTGCAACTCACAGCCAGCTCGGTATTGGACCTAGAGAGTCACACACATATGGTGGATGATGCGACGAATAGAGGATTGGATATGTAATATCCAATAAGATCCTATTTTATTGGATCAATTAGGTGAGACTCAACAAGAGCTTAGAGTAGATAATTGGATAGAGATCTAATTTTCGCTAAGCTAGGGATAATTGGATGGAGATCCAATATCTAATATGCTAGAGTAATTACATGGAGATCTAATATCCAATAGGATAGAATCTATTAGGATTAGCAAAAATGACTTTCTATAAAAGGGATATGGGACTAAAAGGGTTATAAGGCTGAATCACTTTAGCCGTCACCTTCTTGACCTTCCCCATTCTTCCTCTAATGATCTGCCCCTTCTCCGGCATGAGAGGACAATAAGAGAGCCGCTCCTTTGCTACTGCCCCTGTTTGTGTGGTGGTGCACAAAAGCGAGGAAAGAACACCTTATGCAAGAAAGTGCATCGCCATTTCATCCATCGTGTGGATCATTATTAGAGATGAGCTTATGAGAGCTTTTTCATTCACAGACTTGGATTTGCAGTTTTGGGGATATATGATCTTCCTTAGGTGAGAGCATCTCATGAATCTTATGCACTTTTCGGTTTTATGAGTTTTTCACTTTCAATCATTGCACGAAGATCTTATATCATTTTTTTGGGAAACCAATTCTGTTTTCTATTTTTCGTTGTGCATGTGATACTTTTCTAAGGTTTCCCAACATTTGAGGTAGTGTCTAAGATTAGTGAGCTTCCTTATTCCATAGTAATATCATGTGAGCACTTATGAGGACTTTAGACTATGAGAGACCATCTTGGATCCTTTATCACGTGATCATTTAGAGCTTGCGAAGTATATGTTTGTAATTTACATTGCCTTTTAAGTATTTACTAAAATGGCTGCTTGTGAGATCCTAAGTTGAATGTTTGTTTCAACTCGTCTTCTCTTTTGCAAGTTCGTAAAAGATCATAAAAAATTTTAGGGAGACTAATCCTTTGTGCACCGAAAACCACATCTTGATCAACCACGCAACGCCTACCATATGTGTGTGACTCTCTAAGCTCAATATCGAGCTAGCCGTAAGTCATACCTGCCAGAACTCTTTCTGACTAAATGAATTATTATCTCCATAATAATTCACTCGACTCATCGACTATGGACGTACTAGGCCACTACGTTGTAGTCCCTAAACGATATAGGGGAATCTAATCCATTGGACATGTCTATCCTCAGTTACTATGTACATATAGTCTCTCATCCATCTAGTATCCTAGAGATCGTATACCGGACATAGTGTTGTTAGACTCATACGGTTTCTAATCGAGTTTTGTTGTAATCGAATTCTCCTAGAGAACTCTTTCTCTCTTAATCCGAATGACCTTGGTGAGGGATTTGTTTGAGCAAGAATACATGGGATATTCCTCTCGTGATACCGAGTGTGGATGATCCTCTATCGACACTCAATAGTCTTTATAAGGTTGGATATCACTCCCAATGACCGATTGTACTAGATTTAGAACCTCTAGACCTATAAGTTCGGTATCAAAAAATAAAGTACTTATATAGGACATCCTTGGTGTCTCAAGTCTAAGGACCAGATACACCATTGAGACTACAGAATCACTGTCTAATAATAAGGCATCATCAACCATCCATCATTCCGTAAGCGGATCAATCAGTGAACTCATTATCCAATAAGCATATGTACTGTATCCCTATTATCCTCACACGAGCAGCTATGAGATCAACTGCATCCATTATATGGACGAGTATATAGCACACAAGTCTGTCAAGTTATCTCGATGTCCCTTTCGAGCAACTTATGATCGAGATTATTTAGGGTCTGTGTTTAAAGGTGAATCGGTCTTATTATCCTGATTTCATCACGATCTGATTCCCATTGCACAAATCCAAGAACATCACAATATATATATATATATATATATATATATATATATATATA